TAAGGATGACATGATAGCAGCCTTCCAATATTTGAGGGTCTGCCACAAAGAAGAGGGGCTCAAATTATTCTCCAAAGCACCAAAAGGCAACACAAGAAAAAAAAATGGATGGAAACTAATTAAAGAGAGAAGCAAGCTGGAATTAAGGAGAAACTTCCAAACAGGGAGGACAATCAACAGTGGGACAGCTTTGCCTTCAGAAGTTTTAGATGCTTCATCACCGGAGGCTTTTGAGAAAAGACTGGACAGCCACCTGCCTGAAACGATATAGGGTCTCCTGCTTGAGTAGGGGGTTGGACTAGAAGACCTCCGATGTCCCTTCCAGCTCTGATTGAAAATAAACTTCATTTCCTTTTCTGGGATTTATGTCAGCACATCATTTCTGCCCATGTTGTGATTTTGCTGCACCAGAATTATAGTTCAGCCTCTTCTTACACCTTGCACTTCACCAAAGGACATTAAAAAAAACGGAGAACCAAAGAAGAAATGGGTTCTAGCCCAAATTTGCTCATTTCTCTCAAGCAAAGCTGATTTAATTATAATGTTCACAGAGCCCCGTGTAGCCAGGAGCCATTCCACCAGATGCTCCAGATTGAGGGGAAAGATGCTTCAGATTGCTGGACTTTTGAAGCTGAATTTAGAGGGCAAAGTCCTTTAGAGCAGGGGTCTCCAACCTTGGCCACTTTAAGACTTGTGGACGTCAACTCCCAGAATTCTGGGAGTTGAAGTTTTCAAGTCTTAAAGGTTACAAGTTTGGAGACCTCTCTTTGAGACCTTGGAGCAGTGAAATAAGGGAAGGCAGTTGGTAGGGCAACTGAACCAGTGGAACAACTTGTCTCCCAGAACATTGGAAGAAGAAGAATAGAGTTGGAAGGGACATTGGAGGTCTCCTAGTCCAGCCCTCTGCTAGAGCAGGAGACCCTATACCATTTCAGACATATGGCTTTCCAGTCTTGGAGGCAAGTTGTTCCAGTGGTTGATTCCTCTCACCATTAGGCAATTTCTCCTTAGTTCTAGGTTGCTTCTGGGAGTTGGAGTCCCCAAGTCTTAAAGTGGCCAAGGTTGGAGACCCCTGCTTTACAGTGAGGATTCTGCTCTACTCCTGGGCCAGCCAGACATTTGCTTGTTTAAACACAGACAAAGAGAAAAGGGTTAGGTGTCAGGCCTGATTGATGGAAGAATGATGCACCCACATGTTTGTTCTTGTGATATCAAGAGAGGTAGATAGAAGAGTCAGACCAAAGAGAGTGTATGAGGTCTACTTATGCCAGTCATTCCATAGCCTAATCCAGTGTTACGCAACCTCTACAACAGCGCTGTCAAACTCGAGTGGCAGTATGCTGCCTATGCCCGGTTTAGCAAGGGGCGGGGGAAGGCAAGGCACATCACATGACAACGCCATGATGACGTGAGTTTGACACCCCTCTGCTCTATAACGTGAAGACAACTGGATTTCAACTCCCAGAATTCCCCAATAAGCCATGCTGGCTGGAAACGCTGGGAGTTGAACATAGAATCATAGGGTTAGGAGGGAATTGAAGGTCTTCTAGTCTATCCTGCTCAAGGCAGGAGCCCTTGCACCATCCCAGTCAAATGCTTGTCCAGTCTATTTTTGAAAACCTTCAGTGATGGAGCACTCCTAATTCCGAACTGTTTCGTTGATTAATTGTTTTCACTGTCGGTAAATTTTTTTCATACTAGATGGAATCTCTCTTTAACAAGCTTCAACCCATTACTTCTTGTCCTGCCCCCAGGTGCCTTAGAAAATAAAATTGTATAGATATCTATTAGAAATTAAACTAGAAGAAGGACAAGTTAAAGAAACTATGATTGCTTGGGGGAAGAATTTTGGATATGGGATTGATTTAGAGAAATGGCAAAAATTGTGGTCTCAAAATTATAAAATGACAATGTCAACAGCATATAAAGAAAATTTGTATAAGATGTTTTACAGGTGGCATTTCCCCCCCGACAAGAATAGCAAGAATGTTCAAGAATAAATCCGAAAAATGTTGGAAATGTCATCAGACACCTGGCTCATATTACCATATGTGGTGGACTTGTGCGGATGCTAAAAAATACTGGACTAAAATCCACATGTGGTTGGGAAAAAATGGCGAAAAAACATATAGACTTGAAACCAGAGATATTTTTATTGGGAATTTTACCTGAAATATATAGTAAAGACTTGAAATACCTGATTGTAAACATATTAAGAGTGGCTAGGATTGCATTTGCTAAAAACTGGAAAAATGAGAAGATACCATCACAGGAGGAAATAATTAAGAAAATATTGGAATGTGCTGAAATGAGCAGATTGACATTTGAAATTAGAGAACAAGAGGATAAACAATTTTATAAAATTTGGGCTCTTTTTTATCAATGGTTAGATAACAAAGTACAGTAATGAAATATGTAGATTTCTAGAAAATAATAAATATATAAAGATGTACTTTTTTTTTAACTACAAAATGATTTTAGGATAGATTTGGGATGATAATATGAACTGTTATACAATAAATTAAGTAAATTATGGTTATCTTGTAAAACATGAATGAATAAAAGTATAGTCAAATGGTTGATCAAAAATGATACTAAGGTATTTAGTTTTTGATTGACAATATGAGATTATATGTAATGTAATTGTAATGGAAGACTACGAAATAGAAGCACAAAACAATTTGTAAAGCAACCGGCACACGGTATGTACACCTATGGAAGACAGCTTGATGTTTTTATGTTTTGTTTGTTTATGTTTGTTTTTAAAAACCAATAAAATTTATATTAAAAAAAAGAAAAAGAAAAAAAAAGTCAATCCAGAGGTGGTATTCAGCCAGTTCTGGAGAACCGGTAGTGGAAATTTTGAGTAGTTCAGAGAGCCGGCCAATCGCACCTCCGACTGACCCCGCCAACCCCATCTCTTCTCTGCCTCCCATTGAGTCCCAGCCGATTGGCAGGGTCTTCTTTGGTTGCCCTGCACGGGAGAACAGAGCTGGAAAGTAGGCTAGTAAGGTGTGGGAGGGAATGGAGATTTTGCAGTAATCTTCCCCCAAGAGTGGAGACAGAATGGATATTTTATAGTATTCTTCCCCTGCCACGTCCACCAAGCCACGCCCACAGAACCGGTAGTAAAAAAATTTGAATCCCAGCACTGCAATCTCCTCTTCTTTGTGACAGCCCCTCAAGCACTGGAAGAAAGCTTTGTGTGTGTCCGCACCCTAATACTTCTCTTCATTAGGCTAGACATACCTAGTATCCTTAGCTGTTCATTCAAACATTGAACATTATTTCAGTATTTGAAAAAAACGAACCATGATGTATTCGTGATTCGGTGCAGGGGCAGGTACCATCACATATCTTTTTACTTAATGGCCAACATGTTGCAAAAGTCCAATATGCCTTATTACAGTTTGTCACACGGTCAGCCAGATGTTTTAGACTGGATTTGGCATTTTTATCTACCTATCAAGCCCTTCCCAAGGACCGGAGATTGGCAGATGTTGTTGTATGATTGTGTGATAAAAGTATCGTCACAGGATGTAAGCTGTTCCAAGTCAGGCTGCCTTTTGCAATTGACAGATGGCAAATTTGTCAATGCTGGTGGTGTTCAAGCGGTGTTCCAGTTGTTTTGAATTGCACCCAAGGCACCTATGGCTATTGGTACTACCTTTGCTTTCTTTTGCCACAGTTGTTTTATTTTTATTTCAAGGTCTTCGTGTTATTGTAATCATTATTATGTAATCATTATCCTCCCAAAGCGGTCAAGAGGTTGCCAGACTTTGCACTCCAAGTGATCTTTCATCTGAGACTTTATACACACCCACACACCCACACACACACACATCTTCCAACCAAAATAAAAATATAAATACATGCACTATACTTTCTTGAAAATATAAAGGGAGAACCTGAAAGTAGTTCATAAAGATTAATAATAATCACTGTTTATGTTGATAACTGCTTTATAAAGGAAAATTCAAGAGCAAAAAAACCCCCTTCATAAAAATATAATAAAAAATATCTAAAATCAAACGGTATACGTGAATTTCTTTTGAAAAAGAATTCAGTGTATTAAGTGGTATCATTTGCATGGTAAAAGTTAAATGATCAAATAACCAAATGACCAAAATAAAGGACAAAAGTAATTTTTTGGAAAATAAATAAATCTAAAGACAGCTTTCTGAAATAAAGAACTACCCTTTTTAAAATAATGGATGTGTTATATAAATCAAATGAATACATCTGATTTACTAAAAGAATGTATAAGGTTATTCCACTCACAAAATACATTTCTGGCCATCACACAGTGTTAAAAAATAAACTCTGCCTGGTATCTTTTACTAAAGTTACACTGAACATTACCGTATATATTCACTGAGAAAATAGACCCCCAAAATTGGCTGCAGCTTATTAGCTTTGCTACTGAATATACACTCACACTCACCTACGTACACATACATAGTTTATATTGATATCGCTTTGAGACTGATTTTTTAAAAAATCGGTCACTTCCTTCTCAAAGTCACAAAAACCAGTGAAAGTATAATGAGACATGAAGGTGGGTATTTCAATAATGTTTCCATCAAGCAATATTAAAAAGACTCCCAGCCACGTCTTTCTCCCTTCAGAGCTTCAGGATGCTTTGATGTCTTCAGATCTAAAGGAGAATCTGTGCTGAAACCGAATCCTTCACAAAGGCTTGAAGTTATTAAGTCTTGGATGTGTGCCCGGCCTAAATTAAGAGGGCCAAGAAAGAAACATCTTCCTTCTGAAATGGGGATTCTTCCCCACGAAGCCTCAGGTGATGAACACAGATTCATCGCTTGATTTCCATGTCAAGCACAAAACAAAACACTCGGCTTAAAAGAAATTAACCAAGTCCCGGCAAACACGTTATCCCACATTCCTTCCAGGGATGTTTGCCACAAATCTTTGGAGGAGGCTGGAGTTCTTGGAGGGGTAATTAAACGTTCCTGCCACCCTACTATTTCCTTCCTGTCACTACAGCTGAGCTCTGTCACTCTTTGGTTCCATGTCGGCTGGAGGACCGGAGCATGCTCCAGTTTAAGCATTCAGCCCGGGGGTGAAGCCATCAGCCAGTTGTGAGAAGAACACAAGGCTCGCCGCAGTTCTCGTCCACCAAGGTAAGAGATTTCTTTGACACCCTGAAATAGGAATAGGAAGGAAAACCCAAGACAACCCAAAGGTCCGTCTCTCTTCTGCATCAACAGGTGATGGTACCTGGCTGAGCAGATGCTGATGGAATGAGGGCCCGTCAAAGTTCTTTCTCAAGTTTAATTGCTCCTTGGTTTAATTCATACACTTACATTCTGTAAGCCAGGAGTTTGTTTATTTATTTTTATTTTTTATTTATTTATTTTGATTTGTCAATCGCTTACAAGATAATAGGTATAAGTATATACATAGTTATGAATACATGAGATGGGTACATTTTAGAAAAATAAAAGAAACAATAGGACAGGGACGGTAGGCACGTTGGTGCGCTTGTGCACGCCTCAAGAACTTATGCATAAGTTCTTGAAAAAAACTGCTGTTTTGAGGCTTTTTTGATACCCTGGCAGTACAAACTAGTGTGCCACCAATGAATCAAGTTCTAAATCATATCACAATAAGATTTTTAACACAGGCTGTTCAGATGTAAGTCCCGTACTTGCTTGGTGCGACTTATTTTTAGCTGCTTGGATGTCGGTTACAAGCGTTTTCCTTCCTTCCTTCCTTCCTTCCTTCCTTCCTTCCTTCCTTCCTTCCTTCCTTCCTTCCTTCCTTCCTTTCTTTTTCTTTCTTTTTCTCTCTCCTTCCTTCTTTCCTCCCCCCAGAACATAAAAACACCCAGATTTCAAAGCAACACTTGGAAAAAAGTAAAAATAAGGAAAAGCAGAAATCCAACATTCAGCCAAATGTTTTGAATTTCTCAGAAAATTTCTCAGCTCTGGTTAGAAAGCTGAATAATTGACAAATGTCGGAACTTTTTAAATACTCTTTGTGGTTCAGAGAGGAGAGGTTGCTGAATGGTGGGCCTCATTCATTTCCTTCTTGCTGTCAATTATGGTCATGGAATTTATTGCTCCAGTTGTTTAATGCACTGAAGTCACTGGCTTAGTAACTGAGAATGTGGAAAAAAAACAAAAATTCGGATTAAATGGGTACTTTTTCACTAGAACAGGGGAAAAAAAATACTTCCATCTGATTGATTTGAATTCTGCAACTTTAGCTGGTTTCCCTCCAACCCCTTTTATAGACAAATCCTTATCTATAAAATAAATAGATGCACGAAACACTGCAGGATGTTTATTCTAAACACTTTTTTCTAGAATTATAACTGAATAACCAGATTGCAACATAGGACCTGTAGTTTGTGGTCTGGGGAAGTGGGGGAGCGTGTTAAGGGCACATTTTCCTGATGACGGGTGAACTTTTAAATGGAAAAAGATGTTCAGATAAGTACCTGGATATATGCGAGATCTTCTGATCCTGATATCTCAATTGAGAATATAAAATCAGGGCTCCTCCTCTGGGCTTTGTAAGGTATTTACCTGTCAGGCCCCCAAAACCAAGAAAGACACGTAGTGATTCTCCTGAGCAGATTTTTTTTAATTGTTCCATGCCTTTGGCTAAAATCTTGCCAGACTGAAGCAAACTATTCCCTACACCAGGGGGTTCGAAACTAAGGGTGCTTGATGATATTCCAGGGGTTGCAAAAATTTGGGTTTAGAAATTTCAAAATTATTGTGTATATGTCTAATTATATGCAGATAATTATTTATTTGTTAAGGGGTGTGAGAATATATCAGAAGCGTTTTAGGGGTGTGGGGTATAGAAAAGGTTGGGACCACCCACCCCCCTGCCTTACATGAAGCATACACTCTGGGGAACTGTTAGGGAGTTGCTGTCTTCACCCTCTTTCTCTCACACAAGCTATCTGAACTGGATTGACTCTTGGTCCTCTGGAAGGCCCCATTCCTTCCTGGGCATCCAGGCCAGTTACTGTCTTATGTTGAGCCCTTCAGAAGGCTACCTCAATGACACTCAAGGAGCAGAGGTGGCATTCAGCCAGTTCTGACCAGTTCTGGAGAACCGGTAGTGGAAATTTTGAGTAGTTTGGAGAACCGGCCAATGCGACCTCTGACCAGCCCTGGCCCCATCTCTTCTCTGCCTCCCATTGAGTCCCAGCTGATTGGCTGGGTCTTCTTTGGTTGCCCTGCACAGGAGAACAGAGCTGGAAAGCAGGTCATTGGGGTGGGGAGGGAAGGGGGATTTTGCAATATCCTTCCCCTGCCACGCCCACCAAGCCACGCCCACCAAGCCACACGATGCCCACCAAGCCACGTTCATAGAACCGGTAGTAAAAAAAAAATGTATCTCACCACTGTCAAGGAGGGCAACCAAGGAACTTAAAATCACAAAGGTGTAAATTAGGTGAATAGCTGGAGGAGAGAATGAAACAAAGAACTCAGTGGGGAAACGCCAGGCTAGCTACAAGTAAGAATCCATGTTAAAAAGTGAAATTAAAAACAAAACAAAACACACAGAGTAGCTAGGCTTAAAAGGGGAATTTCAGAAAAAGACAAGTGGGGTCTTGCCTCTATCCCTCAGTGTGACTGTGGTGCTCCTCAACAAAAAATATCCATCGCATTGTGTCCTAATGTCCATCAAGAGCTTACACCGGCCCAATGTCTGATTTTTTTTTCAACATAGGCCACCCTGTCCTGGCTGGGTGGACTGGACATTAACAAGTCACTTGAAGTTGTGAAGGCTCCAACACTGGAAGTTTTAACAAAGAGAGTGGACAACCATTTGTCTGAAATGGTACTATAGGATTTATTGCCTAAGCAGGGGGTTAGACTAGAAGACCTCTAAGATCCCTTTCAACTCTTCTATTCTATTCTATTCTATTCTATTCTATTCTATTCTATTCTATTCTATTCTACTCTACTCTACTCTATTCTATTCTAACCACTATGTCCATGTATTTGCCATATGCTAAATCAATCAATCAATCAGAAAAAGGGAGGTGCCAAGTTATGTTTTGATTGAAAGAAAAACCCTACCTCTCCTTTAATCACAATACTCATTAGAAGGACAGGAACCAAGGGCATTTGGAATTTGAATTTGAACAATAAGATTCTATCAAAAATGAGAAAAAGCATCTGATCGATGTAAAAGAGCAAACAAATTATTATCCAGTAAGTTAAACAGGATTGTTCTATTTTAATGCAGTATCTAGAGACGTCACTAAAACGTTTTGTAAAGAAGCCAGAGAAACAAAGCATTAGATTTACATTTATGGGCGTCGTTATATTTACATATGACTCTGCAGTTATGTTTTTCTTCACAAGTTTATGTGACGCAGAATACAAAGTTTTCTAATCTAATTACAAGGGCTGCGCAAGTCTTCAAAAATCCATTTCTGACAAAGGGAAATAGTAGCAAATGTGTTTTGATCCCTGACGTGGAGATCTGTGTGGCCTGAAGATGATTTGATTATGTGCAATCAAGTCATTTTTGACTCCCAGGGACACATAAATAGATTTTTCTCCAAGACAATCTGTCCCCAGATTTGCCTTTCAGGGCTTCTCGGGGTGTATTCATCGCCATTGTAACCGAGTCCATCCACCTGGCTGCTGGTTATCCTCTTCTCTTTCCTTTCACCTTTCCCCATAGGTTTTTTTTGGGGGGGTGGGGGTGGGGGGTGCTTCCATGATGAAAGGATTTGCCGGTGACTCCCAGTTGTGAAATCCTTTACTATCCCTGCAAAGTTGCCCATCAAAGTGATATCCATTAATCTGGTCAGAGTTGCCCACTTTCGAACTCCTGGGTTAGTTGGAGCTGGAGCTGGAGCATGTGATGGGAGCTCATCCCTATGGCAACGGGACTCGAACATGAGCCTGCCGATCTCAGCCCAGCATTCTAACCTCGTTACCCAGCATGCTCCAGCTACCTTTCCAGAGATCTGCATCTCTCTTATATTCTCTCTCTTATATTCTACGTAAAAGTAGAATAATTTGAACCTGGTCATTTGGGCCTCGAGTCAGAACTCTTAAGTTAATTGCCTAATGCTTCACTTCTATGTTTTCTTTCATGGTGGTTTCGGGAACCTTCTCCGACACCAAAAGGCTCAATACTCTGGCTGTGCTAAAAGTCTGCAAAGATTCTCCATCATCCAGATCATGGTTATCCCAAAAGGAGGCAACTGAACTTCCTTGTTTTTTCTTTTGAAGATGTTTCGCTTCTCACCCAAGAAGCTTCTTCAGCTTCTGAATGAATGGTGGATAATTCCACCAGAACTGAAGAACTGAAGAACTAAGCTATCACTGAGAACGTAGACTAATAGTGGCTTGTTCAATAAAACAAACCACTATTAATGTATGTTCTCAGTCATCCAGGTCATGGTTGTCCCAAAGCTGCTTTTTCAGGAGGCAACTGAACTTCCTTGTTTTTTTTTTTTTTTTTGAAGATGTTTCGCTTCTCACCCAAGAAGCTTCTTCAAGTGCTTTCAAGTGTTTCAACAACCCTCTAAAAAAAGGGCTGTCAAACTCCCGGCTGGATGTGTCACGTGCTGACCATTCCCTTGCCTGGTTTAGTGAAGTGGGGGGAAGCCCTGATACGTCACATGATGCTGCTGTGACAATGTCAGTTTGACACCATTGAGCTAGAAGGAGGCAAATGACCAGCTGTCTGCAAGGAGTATAAATCCTTCCCTTCCCCACCCTCCTGTCAGAGCTGTGAAGAAGCTTCTTGGATGAGAAGCAAAACGTCTTCAAATAAAAAAAAAAACCAGAAAGTCCAGTTGCTTCCTGGAAAAAAGCCCCTTTGGGCCTTCCTGTCCTCCATCTTCAAGGTCCAACTTTCTCTTCCATAGAGTGTCACCAGAAGAAAAAACATGGCTTGCATTGTGGTATTCTGGCCCTTGTATACGACCACACCTGGATATTGTCCAAAGCCTCCATTTGGCTGTTGGACCAAATGCTGGTCTACAGCACAGCGCCTGACCTAATTGAAGCAAAATGACCTCCCGTCATTCAACTCTACCAACATCTTGGTTTTTTTTAAAGTGCTGGTAGTGAAAATGAGAATATTTCCCAATATATTGCTCATTTGATTTGAGATAGATTTTGATAAATCTCGGGCGCAAATGAAGCTTGGAGTCTCTATTTAGGGAAAACATAGTTGATCATGTTTGGCAGAATCTGTGGCAGCATCAGGGAAGAGTTGGGTCTCAATCAATCAGAATAGAGCTGGAAGGGACCTTGGAGGTCTTCTAGTCCAGCCCCCTGCTCAAGCAGGATACAATTTGAGACAATTGGCTGCCCATCTCTTCTTAAAAGCCTCCACTAATGGAGCCGCCGCAAGTCCTTCCACTGGTTAATTGTTCTCGCTGTCAGGAAATTCCTCCTTAGTTCTAGGTTGCTTCTCTCCTTGATTAGTTGCTGTCGCTTGTTTCTTGTCTTGCCTTCTGATGGTTTGGACAATAAATTGACCCCCTCTTCTTTATGGCAGCCCCTCAAGTACTGGAAGACTGCTATCATGTCTCCCCTAATTCTTCTTTTCTTTAGAGAAGACGTAATCCAGTTCTTGCAGCCATTCTTCATATGTTTTAGTCTCCAGCTCTGTAATCATCTTAGTTGCTCTTCTCTGAACTTTTTCCAAAGTCTCAACGTCTTTTTGTAATATGGTGACCAAAACTGGATGCAGGCTTCCTTGGATGCTACTAAGGCTTTATAAAGTGGAATGAACTTTGTTTAACAAGGCAAAGAGTTTGTGAGGCCTGGCCTGGAAAACATGCTCCTACACTAGCCAGTTGGGTTGATCTTTGTAGCTTGGTTTGGAGTAAGAAATGTTTTATGCATTGACAGCTACGTTCAAACACTATTTTAAGTGCTTTAGCTTCTTCAGTAATTTGCTAGAGATACCTCCGATGAAACTGTGTAAGGACAGGAGAGTTAAAATGCAACCTTAACCCTGTGGCTTGTATTGCTTCCAACACCAGAGATGGCGAACAGGTGGAAAACGAGACATTTGCTCTCTGACCTGCTTGCTCTCTTTTGTAGGAAGAGATTTATTGGTTTCTTTGCTTATCTGTCCCGCTGTCCATCATATCCTTGAACCGCCCTTCACCCTCAGATGTCTGGAATAAAGATGTCCCAGCAGAAGGAGAAGGTCTCCGTTCCCATGGTGACGTTGTCCGTGCCCCAGGAACCTTATGCGGTGGGATATTCTGCTTCGTACACCCCGGAGGCCTACACGTCGCAGCCCTACAACCCACAAATGTATGCCCCACAACCCTACTGCTCCGAGCCACAAAGCTATAAACAATACACGTCGGATCCATGCGCCTCCAGCCATTCGGAGATTGAGCATTATCGCGTGGCAGGTATGTGCCAGGTGCCTTTCCAAGGGTGAGGAGGTCTGGATCGGTGGTGGGATTCAAAAGGCTTTACCACCAGTTCGGTGGGCGTGCTTTGCGCATTTGCACACACACGCACGCACTTTGTGAAGACACAGAGGCATTCCAACTCACCTCCTGCAAGCCTGCACTCTCCTGGTCACTTCAGCAGCTGCAGTGCAGCACTCTGTTGTGCCGCGCAAAGCAGCTGCACTTCAAATTCAGAAGACAAAGGTGATTAAGGGAGCCCAGATGTGCGGGTGGGCCCAACAGCAGAGTGGCAGAGAGAACCGGTTTGGTCTCTGCTGCTCATCGGTGCTACCGGCTCAGCAGAACCGGGCCGAACCAGTTGAATACCACCACTGGTTCTGGATTAAAAGAGGGTTGGGTTTGAGGCTCGATTCAAGCCCCCTGCAATGCTTCTTCCCTTCCTCCTTGATGCAGATGCTTGCTGTTACGAAGTTTCATCTCCGCCTCCGTATAGCTGTGAAGAAGTGCCTTGTGACACATTAGGACCAGGTATGCAGCGGAAACTTATATGCTGAAGATTGATGCATATATAGGCAGTCCTTGGCCTACAACTATTCATTTAGGGACTGTTCAAACTTACAATGGCACTGAAAAAAGTGACCTATGACCAGTCGTCATACGTATGACCGCTGTACCATTCCCAAGTTCTTGCGATTCAAATTTGGGCGCTTGGCAACTGCCATGTATTTACAGAGGTTGCAGCATCCCAAGTTATGTGATTTGATGCGTAGATAGATAAATAGATAGATAAACAGACAGACATAGAGAGACAGGTAGGTAAGAGAGGGGGAAGAAGATGGATATATATATACATAGAGAGAGAGATACAGACAGACAGATACAGACAAATGAAAGAAAGAAAGAAAGAAAGAAAGAAAGAAAGAAAGAAAGAAAGAAAGGAGACACAGATTGACAGAGGGATAGTCCAGAATACTCGAAATACAAGATGTCTCATTTATGGCCATTTGCAGATAGACGAAGTGGATTGCTAGTACACTATTCACATCTAAGTTTATGATGCAGTTGTGACTTATTCTGGACACCTAAGACCTCACACTAGACCGATACCTGGGGAGAACAACGCCCATGGTCCCTGAATTTCCTGCTTAAGGTTCTTAAGAAGGTTTTCCCTCAAGGACCAAGAAGAGTCTCGGCAAATGTTAAGCGATAGGAGTGTGGCAAATGACAGGGCGCCCATTTAATTAGAAGGACACGTATGAGACAAGATTTTTCTCTTTATTGGTGTTCCAAGAAACCTCCTGAACTGAACCCCTTCAAGGTGTTTGTTTGAAGACTGCTGGCGGAGTCTCTGAGAGGCCCAGAAGCATTTGTGCAAATAGAAGTGATGTCTCACACTTGCTCTTTTTAATCAAAAGCCTTTTATGAAAGTACAGTGTTTAAGGGCAGACACAGCACAGCGTCTATGTGGAACAGCTTGAGAGATGGACAAAGTCAGGTCCCAAGGACAGAGATGGGTTTAAATTGCCCGAGTAAGATAAAAGAAGGGATGCGGTGGCTCAGTGGCTAAGATGCTGAGATAGTCGATCAGAAAGGTCTGCAGTTTGGCGGTTCGAATCCCTAGCGCCGTGTGACAGAGCGAGCTCCCGTTATTTGTCCCTGCTTCTGCTAACTTATCAGTTCGAAAGCACGTAAAAAATGCAAGTAGAAAAATAGGGACTCCTTTGGTGGGAAGGGAACAGTGTTCCTCCATGTGCAGCTTCGGCGTTTAGTCATGCCGGCCACATGACCACGGAGTCGTCTTCGGACAGTGCTGGCTCTTTTTCGGCTTTGAAACAGAGATGAGCACCACCCCCTAGAGCTGGAAATGACTAGCACAGATGTGTGAAGCGAACCTTTACCTTTACCTAAGAGAAAAGATGGGGAAAGGGATGTGGGAAAAGCTTCTTCCCAGGAGATCTTTTCACAAAGCCATCTTTCCCAGGGAAAAAAAAAAAAGCTTTCAACCTCTTTCCTGGGAAAATCTTTCAAAGCCTTTTGCTTTTTAAAAATTCCTCCTGGAGTTTGCTGAGCTTCCTCGATTCACGGGCTGGTGGGAAGGCCTGCTGTTGTTTTCAGGGCATTCGCTTCCAATGTTTGAAAATTTCACCAGTTGCCCACCCTTCCCAGTCTGAAAAAGCAGAAGGGACCTTGGAGGTCTTCTAGTCCAACCCCCTGCTCAAGCAGGAGACCCTAGACCATTTCAGACAATAGCAATAAGCACTTAGACTTATTTACTGCTTCCCAGTGCTTTATGATCCTCTCTAAGCAGTTTTCAGAGTCAGCCTCTTGCCCCCAACAATCAGGGTCCTCATTGTACCCACCTCGAAGGACGAAAGGCTGAGTCAACCTTGAGTCGGTCAGAATCGAACTGCTGGCAGTCTGCTGAGTCAGCCTGCAATATGCATTTTAACCACTGTGCACCAAGGAAGGAAGGAAGGAAGGAAGGAGGGAGGGAGGGAGGGAGGGAGGGAGGGAAGGGAGGGAGGGAGGGAGGAAGGAAGGAAGGAAGGAAGGAAGGAAGGAAGGAAGGAAAATAGCAATAGCACTTAGACTTCTATACCGCTTCCCAGGGCTTTCACAGCCCTCTCTAAGTGGTTTACAGAGTCAGCCTGTTGCCCCCAACAATCTGGGTCCTCATTTTACCCACCTCAGAAGGACGGAAGGCTGAGTCAACCTTGAGCCTGGTGAGATTTGAAGTGCCAAACTGCATGCAAACGGCTGTCCAGAAGAGACAGCTGAAAAGCTCTGGATGTATGAGATGAAATGCACATTGATGTCTCTCCCCTCTCTGCCCCACAGTCTGCATGGACTCATCCCCACCTGTTGTGGTGGCTGGGATCTTCTCCAGCAAACCTGCGTCCACCATCTGCCCCTGTTGCCGACAGATCATCACCACTGAGGTGGTCTTCCGTGTGGGGTGCCTCACCTATGCCCTCTCGACCTGCCTGTGTCTGGTGGGGTGAGTGTCCATGCTTTGTAACTTTATAGTTGTCTTCCTACACTTTCATGGCGTTCAGGGGTGGGATTCTACTGGTTCGGACGTTAAATTTACATCTGGTTTGCTGAAGTGGTAGTTGAACTGACCGGCTGGCTCTGCCCTCCCCTCTCCTCCCCTCCCCTCCCAGGAGTCTCTACGCAGCCTGTTTTGGATGCAGGTAATTGCAGGGTCTGCGTGGAGGTTCTGGGAAGGGGACAAATGGGCCTTCCGGAAGTCTGAAGATGAGCCTGTTTCTGGCTTCCGGAGGGCTTCCGTAGCCCTGAGGAGACCATTTTCGCCCTCTCAGAGGCCTGAGGAAAGCTTCCGGACCCTGAGGAAGGCGAAAAATGGCCCTACCGCAAGTTCTGGTAGGCCACGCCCACCATGGCCACACCCACCCAGCAACCAGGCCGCGAACGGGTTGCTGGGATTTTTGAATTCCCACCCCTGAGTTCATTAGTAGTAGCTCAGAGTAGACAAACTCAGACACAACGTTTTCCCCCATTGAGTCAGAAGAGGGGTGCTAGAGGGTCAAAACATTCAAGATGGATGTCCACGCCCACGGCCTCAGCCCCACTCCTTTTCAACTCTATCATGCTGGCTTCCCCCTAGAATTTTTTTTTTTTAAATCCCCTCCAGCCTTGAGAAAAGGTTTCAAGGGATGAAAAACGGAGGCCTCAGGCCAGAGACGGGAACATTTTGGGAGCTGAGTGTTATCCTGAAGTTCCTTTGGGAGGAAACCCAGGGATGCCACGGGTGGGGGTCTGGCACAGTGGGATAGACTTGGGACTTTCTTTTGGCTTTTGGGGGTTGTAGGGGCCTCATTGCAGGTAACCCAGAGGGTTTTACAGGAGTGCGAAAGAAAGGAACGGTGCGCCATTTTGAGGCAAGCTCCACCCCCTTGGAACCTGCACAGTGACATTTGCATATAGGTACAAAGGGGGTGGAGCTGCTTTGGCCCTGTTGAAGAAACCTCCGGATCCTGGAGGTGTCTTTGGTCCGAATTCAGTCCTCCTGGCCCAGTGTTTCTCCGTCTCAGCCACTCAGTCCATACGTAGCTTTAGAATGAATGAGCTGGAAGTCATCTTGGAGGTCTTCTAGTCCAGCCCCCTGCTCAAGCAGGAGACTATACCATTCCAGACAAGTGGCTGTCCAATCTCTTCTTAAAAACTTCCAGTGATGAAGCATTCACAATGTCTGAATGCAAGTTGTTCCACTGGTTAATCGTCCTCACTGTTAAGAAGTGTCTCAATTCCAGGTTGCTTCTCTCCTTGATCAGTTTCCAACCATGGTTTCTTGTCCTTCCCTCTGGTGTTTTGGAGAATAATTTGATCCCTTCTTCTTTGTGGCAGCCCCTCAAATACTGTTATCATGTCGCCCCGAGTCCTTCTTTTCTCTAGACTAGCCAAACCCAGATCCTGCAACCGCTCTTCATCTGTTTCAGTCTCCAGGCCTTTGGTCATCTTTGTTGCTCCTTTTTGAATTTTTTCCAACATCTTAAAGTTAGCTGGGTAATTCTGGGAGTTGGCTGAGGTTGAGAAACCCCTTTTCTCTTGTGTAACCTTACAGAAACTCCTGCTGTAAGAAGCTTACCATCTCTTAGCAGAGATCTCCAACCTTGGCAACTTAAGACTTGTGGACTTCAACTCCCAGAACTGGCTGGAGAAGTTGCCAAGTTTGGGGACCCCTGATCTATAGCAGCGTTTCTCAAACTTGGCGACATTAAGATAAGGGGACTCCAACTCCCAGAATTCCTTAGCCAGCCATGCTAGCTGGGGAATTCTGGGAGTTGAAGTCCACCTATTGTAACATTTTCAAGGCTGAGAAATATTGACCTATAAGGGATAAAGCTAACAAAGTAGGTAGTTCTTCAAGAGGGACATATTTTGACTTAAGTTTCAGTAAAATCTCAGATTGCCTTCTCCAACCAGAACTGGGACTGCAATCGAAGACTGGAAACTTGGAATCTTGAGAGTCCACTGACCTGTATTAGGCTGTCTAAGGTCTCGAGCAGGGCTCTTCCAAATGTGGTAACTTTAAGACTTGTGGACTTCAACTCCCAGAATTCCATAGTCAGCATGGCTGGTTGAGGAATTCTGGGAGTTGAAGTTCACAAGAAAGTTGCCAAGTTTGGAGAGCTTTGGTCTCGAGTTGCTGGGGTTGGTTGAAGGGCAATAATTCTATATTTTTAGTTTGACATTTTGGGGGGTATTTTCCACTCTCATACTGCTGGGTCATTGGGAACTGCCTAAACCAGAATGGATGACGGTTGGTCTGTACAATTTTGAAATGGATTTCTTGGTGTAATAATTTCATGGCATAATGTCAACCCATAAGAAAACCCTTTTCAAGCCATGGTCTGTCTTTTTATTTTCTTACGTGGCTTCCAGGTGCTGCCTGGGTTGCTGTCTTATCCCCTTCATGTCCAAATGCTGTAAGGACGTCGATCATTATTGTCCCTGTTGCCGATATCACATCTACCGATATAAAAGGATCTAGCTGCTTGGAAGAATGGCCCAGCGGTCTCCTTGGAAATCAAATGGGAGCAAAGGGGTTTCCAACTTGGATGGATTCACATATTCCGTCTTGGACTGTTCTTATGTTTGGAACTGGATTGCACTGTGCAGGATGTGCTCCCTCGTCTGTGGTGAAACTGGCTGGGCTCCGGTCAGCACTGGCCTTCAACCTCCTAAGCAGGGAAGCAGCTTTCAGCTGGTTAAGGATCTGCTCTAGGATTTTCTGTATTACTTCCCTGGTATTTGAGGTTTGTGGATTAACTGTCAACTCGTAAAATATGTCTCTGGTCTTTTTAGAGTTGCCAACAGAATGGGAGGGAGGAGCAACTTGCATTCCATAAATGTTTTCCAAGATAGTTTCTAGGTGACCGAAGTTTCTGCCACACAAAATTCTAACTGGAGAGCATGATTGATGACTCTGGGCTATGGATGTGTCCAATTGGAGAATATGAATTATGATACACCCAGGGGGTGGGGGAAAGCCAGGGTCAAGGGTGATAGTGAATGATGTGTCTCAGAGTCAGCTACACCCAGGCAGTGCTGGACATGTTAACTCCTAATAAATCTTCTTTAAATTTTGAAAATTCAGCTAGAGTCTCATGATTTAAATGGGGGTAACTACCGGAACCCTGACATTAAGTCTGTTTTTGGTTTTTCTTTTGTGAATCCTTTGGTACGCTTCCTTCTCAAGGCGGCTTAAATCCTTCTCCACCACATATCTCCTCTAAGGACCATGTCAACAATGCACCATTTATGTTCTACCAAGCATCTTCTGGCTTGCTAATTTGCCAGAGGCCACTTTTACATGTTTTTTACTTCATGCTGGACTGATCAAATCCTTCATTTTTCTCCTGACCCAATTTTCATTTGGTTGGATAAAGAAACTTCAGAGAAATCTCTCCATTCCTTGGCCTGAAGGGGTCCCCAAACAGTGAAAATGGAGTCCCAAGGCCAGGTCATCAGAGCCACATCCATTTTTAATATGCATTTAAAAAGAGGGCGGGGCTTTGGTTGCAGGGTGGTGGTTGTCATCTTGACTTTTTGGGACTATCTCCATGTAGATTATCCTTCCTGCCCCGATATTTGATACAGAATTTGGATAAGCTGTTTGTTCCAGCTCTTGTTTTAGGGGATTAATTGTTACAATTTTGATTCTTTATGTGGACGGGGTAATGACAAAGCTTTCTCATTGGATGGGAGAGCAGGACACATTCCTTGGATGATGCTCTATTTTGTTGCACTGGTTAAAGAAACGGTTCCTGTGTTGTCCCCTAATGTTGTATTTCCTTTGGTAAGGAAGATGGAGGACACTGGCAGCTGAAGGTGAGAGGAAGAAAAAGAGCAAAGGAGGAAGGATGGTGATCCTTGGTCCCTATTTCTTGACTTCAGCAGCTTAAGACATGTGGACTTCAGAATTCAGTATGCTGGCAGGGGAATTCTGGGAGTCAAAAATGCATATATCTTAAAATTAGCTAGGGAATTCTGGAAGTTTAAATCCAAACAATTTAAAGTTGGCTAGGGAATTCTGGGAGTTGAAGTCCACACATACTAAAATTGGCCAGGGAATTCTGGAAGCTGAAGTCTACAGAACTCGAAGGAAATCCAAGTTCCCACATCTTAAAGTTGCCAAGAATGAAAAGCGCTAATGACAAAATAAACAAATAAACAGTCCTCTGAACCAGATTTTGAAGAAGACATAACCATGCCAGACTTGTTTCTCAACCCAGGTGAGATCTCATATGGATTTAAGGACCTGTCTTCAAACACACCATAGAATTTGAAATCCTTGCATGTAGAATAGCAACCCAAGTCTCTGCCATCGGTTGAATGCCACATCACGGTACCAGGGCCTCCATGGGAGTCCTGGCCTGGACCTTTTCTCCACCTAAGTAAAATCAGGGACTTAAACACACCACCAGTTGAACTGGTATGTATATGTGGAGTAACCATCATTTGTTGTTCTAATTTCCCCAGAAGTTGTTTTTAGATACTACATGGCGGTCATTTTTAATGATTTCCATTTGGTTAATTTTGTTTAGTTGAGCTGAGCCAAATTTACTGATTACATCTCAAATGATTGGCTGTGCAGTACACAGTGAGCCCGCAGCCACTTACAAGCCAGTCTGGTTTGACGCATCTTTTTCAGAGCTAAACTTGAAAGGATGTACAAACCCATTCATCAAAACAAGTGAGTCAACGCTCAAAGTCCAGATTGAAAGAACGATTACAAATGTTATTGTATGGGAAGGTTAGGCAAGAGGGATGGGAATGCTGAGTCAACGGCCACGTAATTCAGAGTTTATATTTCGAAGTCCTCCAGCTGGTTTTAAAGTTATGAGTTTAGCAACTCACCCAAAGATAGACCAAAATCTTGCTGTAAATTGATGTCTTAGTACTTTAGCAAGCGGCATCTGAAGAAAAAGGTTTTCCTGCCCCTACCAAACTCAACTGATTCAACCACGTGTACAGAGATGGTGGCCATACAAATTGAATAAATAATTTTTAAATGCATGTTAAGTAAGATGTATAAAATCCCATCTCACCCTATGGGGTGGCCTGTGCCTTCCTCAATCTTGGGTTCTCTGGAAGGCTGAGGTTTCCACCCAAAATCTTAGCTGTTCCTAGAATTGCTCTCTGTTGGACAAAGAGCTCCAGTGTTCTTCCTGGGATCTGTTGGAGTCACTTTCCTAGCTTAGGAATCACAACTCTTGAGTGCTCCTACCATCCCTGGGGACACTTTGGCCTGTACTTTCCAATCCTCTCTAGTTCCTGTTTCAGGCCCTGGTTCTCCTCCCACTTCTGCTACTCCTTGTTCCTGAGGTTCAGAGGTGGTCTTCAGCTGGTTCTGAGCAGTTCTGGAGAACCGGTCGCAGAAATTTTGAGTAGTTCGGAGAACCGGCCAATTCCACCTCTGACTGATCCCACCAACCCCATCTCTTCTCTGCCTCCCGTCGAGTCCCAGCTGATGGGCTGGGTCTCCTTTGGTTGCCCTGCACAGGAGAACGGAGCTGGAAAGCAGGTTAGTGGGCTGGGGAGGGAAGGGGGATTTTATAGTAACCTTCTCCCAGAAGTGGGGTGGGAATGGAGTTTTTGAAGTATCCTTCCCCTGCCATGCCCACCAAACCACGCTCACAGAAACTGGTAGTAAACAATTTTGAATCCCACCACCGTGTCCTCTGAGACATTGGGAGGAGGTTGAGAAAGAAAGTGGAAGAACTCTGAGGATCAGCTAAGAAGGGAGTTTCTTAGTAGCTTCTAAAATGTAAAATAAAAGGTACATCAGCCATACCTCCAAAAGGTAGGACAGAGGAACAGATTCGGAAGGCTACAATTTAATAAAAGCAGAACATTCACAACGGACATCCATAATTAATCAGGCTCCTTGGCGCAGTGGTTAAATTAATTGGAACCCTGGTCACACAGCGGTTGAAGTCTAACACCCAAAGGCCAGACAAGGAACAATGGATGGAAACTAAACAAGGAGAAGAGATTCAACCTGGAAATAAGGAGGAATTTTCTCCCAGTGAGAACAATCAACCAACTGAACAGAATTTGCCTTCAAAAGTTGTGGGAGCTTCATTCCTGGAGGCTTTCAAGAAGAGACTGGACTGCCATCTGTCAGAAATGGTGTAGGGCCTCCTGCTTGGGTGGGTGGGTGGGATTGGACTAGATGACCTATAAAATCTCTTCCAATTCTGTTAATCTGTAATTCATCTCTGTTCCACCCACCTCCACCCCCGGGCCATTCCCACGTCATCCCCATGGACGAGTCAGCAGGAGATTGTAGATGACTGACTGTGGGGAACTACAACCTCATGGGGTTCACATAATAACGGCAACTGGAACGGTCGCCACTTCCACTGTAAGTCAGCATAGTCATGTGATGCCACACTTGATGACTGTGTTGCTTAGCGATGGAATCGCGGTCCCAATTACTGTTGTAATCCAAGGACTACCTCCCTACCACTACCACCTCCATTCAAAAATTGTGGGATAACAAGTCCTCATGCCAAATGGACACATTTTTTTTTTGAAAAAACAAAACCTCTGGGAGTTGACATCCACCCATCTTAAAGCTGCCATGGTTCAGAAATGTCCGCCCTCAGAAAGGCAGGCCGGCAAGAAGGGAGTGTAAGACAAAAGGCCAATGCAGTCCTGGTCTTCCATCAGCAGAGGGACAGCTTCAAGATTGCAATGACGTGATAGTGCTGCTCAGTGGTGGGATGCAAGGTTTTTTTTACTACTGGTTCTGGTTCTGGCAGGGGAAGGATACTGCAAAATCCCCCTTCCCTCCCCACCCCACTAACCTGCTTTCCAGCTCCGTTCTCCTGTGCAGGGCAACCAAAGAAGACCCAGTCGATCAGCTGGAACTCAATGGGAGGCGGAGAAGAGATGGGGTTGGTGGGGCCAGTCAGAGGTGGCATTGGCCGGTTCTCCCAACTACTCAAAATGGTCCACTTCTGGTTCTCCAGAACTGGTCAGAACCGGCCGAATGCCACCTCTGCTGCTGCTATATACTGGACAGTAAGGCCGCACTTGGAAGATGGCGTCCAGTTCTGCTCACAATACAAACAAGATGCCGAGACTCTAGATAAAGACTCTAGATGAAGAAACTCTAGATAAAGAGTAACAATGATGACGAGCGATCTGGAAACTAAATTGTAGAATGAATGTTGTGGGGAAAAGGTATCTCTAAAGAGGATTTTTTTTAGGGGTGTGTGTGTGTGTGTGTGTGTCATGATAGCAGTCTTCCAGTAAAGATGCCACAGAAAAGATTGGGTCACGCTTTTCTCCAAAACACCTGAGGGCACAACAAGGAGTAATGGGTGGCAAAGTCATTAAAGAAAGATCCAACCTAGAATTAAGATGGAATTCCCTGACAGTAAGAATTATCAAGAAATAATCAAGGTTGATCCATCCTACCCATCCTTCCCATGTCAGTAATATGAGAACGCAGATTGTTGAGGGCAAGCGGCTGACTCTGTAATAAACCACCTAGAGAGGGCTGTGAAGCGGTATATAAGTCTAAGAGCTGTTGCTATTAATCAGTGGAACAACTTGCCTTCAGAAATCGTGGGTGCTCCTTCACTACAGGTTTTCCAGGTTAGACTAGCGGTTGCCAACCAGTGGTCCACGGGCCACTGGTGGTCCGCAAGAAAATGTTGGTGGGCTGCAGAGAAATGTCGCCCCCAGAGTACCTCGCCAAAGCAATTAATCCAGGCTGCGCAGAAACACAAGGCTGCGCTGCCCACATGGCCCGCGGAAACCCTCCCTGCCAACTCACTCCTTACCTGGCAAACTTGCCTGCTAAGTTGCTATTTTTCCTTTTTCCGACCATCAGTTAT